GGGCGTAAACCGAAAAAAATGTTCTGCCCCGGGCGCCCATAACTCTGGTTACGCCACTGTTTCCCCGCACTATTAAACAGCAACACAATGGAAAAGTGTAAAGATAGCAAATATGGTGCTGCATCCTCCATTGCAATATGTAAACCCATTTATTTTGAAATGCTGTTTTTTTTTTTTATGGTGTGGTAAACTTGCAACTACCTCTTCAATACTGACCTTCATTTCCTATTATACTAGTAATAATAATTCATGTTTAATATATAATAATGTTTAGAAATAGTTTTTATCTATGCAGTATTACTTTCTTTCTTGTTACAACTCAATTAAACCCTCTTCATTTATTAGTGTAATATAGTCAGGCTGCATATAAAGTAAAAGTATTCTTTTTAGGGGGCTTAAGCTGGGTAGACTCCTGGATTTTCATACAAAGGTTCATAAGAAAAATCTCTTTAGAAGATTTCATAAAACCATCAGAGAAGCCATCATTGATGAATGTCATTAAAAATTTTATTTGACCTTAACGTTTGATATTGCAATGGGTGGAGTTTCTTGAACAAAAACAACATTCACTATTAGAACTTCATTCTTTTGAGAAAAGATTGTTTTCACTTTTATATTACTCTGCTTTTGAATATTAAAGGAGAACTATGAGGTGAGTGATTTTCACTCACCTCATAGTTCAAGCCCACCTGTGACAATTAAACTGTCACAGGTCGGCTCAGTAGATCGGGAGGTGAGCGAACACATACCGGCGTTCGCTCACCTCTCGATCCTGTCACGGCTCTCTGCTGTGACAGGGGAGAGGCTGGATTCCACCCTCCCTGCTCCGATCCGCCAGAGCTGACTGGCGGAACGGACGGGCGAGGGAACAGCTGGCTCTGCCTCTAGATAGGCAGAGCCAGCTGTCAGTCAAGCAGCTGGGCGGATCCAGGCATAATTGTTGGGATCCGCTTCAGCTGCGGCATCTCAGTATACCGCGAGCAGCAGCTCGCGGTATACTGTGGCGCCTCAGTATACCGCGAGCTACAGCTCGCGGTATACTGAGCCTACGGTGACGGGAGGATGCTAGTTTGTGTCCTCCCGTTACCCTAAAGAGAACTATGGGGAAAAGCCCTAACCCCATAGTTCTCCTTTAACAGAACAAAAAGAAAAAACTACAGAAATTATGAATTAAAGTAAAAATAGTATTTCCAAGCTTGATAACTGTGCTCCATTGTCATTGTATAAATACATGAGATGATAAACAAATTCTAAGCAGCATTTAGGTATGTTCTGTTTACCACTACTATTTATTAATTAGTGTTTCCATATGCACATAGTATGTAAAGTGCTGTGCAAAAGTAAGGGAAATAAATAAGAATAAGCATTTACTATTGCCCTTTTTGATTCTTTGCTGTGTGTCCCATCTTACATCTTGTGTACAATAGGCAACAGTTATGTTTCTCTACTCTTGTTTGTATAAATCAGTCAACTTGTAAAACCACCATTTTATCATGGAAAAATAAACTTACTACAGTTGACTTCATCTGACTTATCGGCACAGTCATGGTCTCCATCACACACCCATCGTAATGTTATACATCGTCCGTCTCCACATCTGTAACTATGTGCAGGGTTACAGTCTGAGGAAATAGAACTAGATAATGTCCCACAGACAATCCAACACATCACAAGGTATACTTAAAATATTTGATTAAGCCTTAGAAGTGTACAACATAGGTATCATTAATGGGCAATCACCTACAACCACTTTTAGGAGAACTATTAGCACCCACATAGTAACAACTACAAGCTCCAATGGCTGACAACCTGCTAAATGAAGAAAGCACTGAAACCGATCACCTTCCAATTTAATTGGTAATAGTAGTAATTCCAACACAATGGAACTTGCTGGCTATTAAAGAACATATTTCACGTCTTATTCAAGTGGGTTCTTCAGTTCATCTGATGGGATGGAATTCATTGACATTTTAACCCTTACCAGTAGGGATGCACCGATACCAAGTACCATATTTGGTACAAGTACAAGTACAGATACTTTTCGAGCTCCAAGACTAGACTAGAGAAAAATTTAGAAGCTAAGAGGCAGCTGTCATTTGTAAGGAGCACACGGAGCTCCTGTGATTTGTGCATCCATGTTTTAACGTTTTCCGCTCTGCTCCATGCTCTCCATCCTGAACTACCTTGCCATGATCCAGAGTCCCCCAGAAGAGCAGGGAAACCCAAAAATCACGCTGGGGAGGGAGGCGGCCAGTGGGGAGAGAGGCAACTGAATGTGGGGGCAGACCATGGAGGGAGGGGCAGCATGGGCAACCGGATCACTTGTACTAAAGCACAGGCTTTACTACATTTAGCCTAAGCAGGGCTAAATGTGGTAAAAAAAACTACCTGCCCGGCGGCTGTGCCACCCCTCTACTCCCTGCTGCCCCGTGGCCTGGCCTCGGTGGCCTTGTGGGAAATCCGGCCCTGACTGTTGCTAACTCTGTTCCAATTGGACAGATTTCCCATTAATACCTGTTTCCCAAACTTCATGTCACTGTGACAGTGAAAGGAGATCTCCCCAACATAGACAACAATAAAGACCTCAGAGGTTCTAGCCCTTTCATACTCTATCCAAAACAAAGGGAAACATTTTGGCTGGAGTTTGGTTTAAGTATTAAGTTTGCTGAGAACATGTGTTCTTGCACTAGTTTTTATTTAATGACAAATCTGTAGAACCTTGGATGGTGTCATAGTTTTCCTATAGGGCCACATAAATCTTTAGGTAGCCAAATAATTCAGGCTATATAATACACTCTTCACCCATCTCAAGTAAAAGCTGCAGGACACAGATATAACCAAAATCATGCATAAATTAGATGATTTCATGTGATATATTAAAGCTGGCTTAATTATTCAAAGATAAGTTGATCAGGAGGTTTAATGGCATACCGCAGTTTTGCTCATCGCTCAGGTCTCCACAGTCATCATATCCATCGCAAACAAAGCTATGATTAAGGCACTTCCCGGTGTTACAACGGAATAGATGTTCACTGCAATCTGTAATTAAAAATTGGGACAATGTTAGAATTCACAGGAAATCTTCATGTGATCTGTGGAATAATGTGACTTATGCTTGCAAAAAAGAAAGTGCCTACACCATGAAGGAATCTTATGTTTGCTTAAAATAAAGGGGCACATTCAGAGCGATTATGAGGGCAATGAATCTGTCGTAGACACAGATGCTTTTAATGAAAACCTAAGAGACACCACTGTGCCTGGTGTCAATGGGTGGTAAGATTGTAAAAAAATATGAGTAAATTCTTTATGAGCTACATTTCCCTTCTTAAAGCATTTTTAAATTATTTTAATGGCCCCACAGTACATTTTTTGTAACCAGTTCCCCTCATCCAGTTAACCGTCTCACTGACATCGTCTTACTCATGTACTGTATGTACAGTACATGAGTAAGACCCCCAAAACTGATATATTTTTAAAACACAGGTCCTCGTAAAAAAATCCCTGATTTGCAACATTCCACAATATTCTGAGAGATATTTGTTAAAGTCAATTTTAATAAAAAATAACATCTGTTACCAGATCACATGCAAGTAGTAAAAGCTCGAGAATTACTTCTAACTTTAGCTAGTATTAGCTAGTCACATCTTGCTGGTTCTGTAATGCTGAAGATGTTTCACCGCTCATCCAAGTAGCCCATTAATGATGCATAGTCAATACATTTCTAAAGAGTATTACATTTTTTTTTTTTACATTTTGCTGGATTGTCTACTGTATGTTTTGTGGTGCTGAGCTAACACTGTGCAGAGCACCACGAACAACACACAGCTCAACTTAGCACTGTGCACACTTATGAAACAAAAGAAAACAAAGATATTAATAAAACTTAATCACAACCTTTATTAGGCTAACTAGCATATAAACAAAATTATGGCAGTAGTCATGTACTCTTTTATCAAGTCTGTAAGTAAAGCTAAATTCCAGCTGTGTAGACATCCATTTTTTAAAGTTTAGTCCAGAGTTTGACAACATTTTTACCTCATTTTTTTCAAAAACTGGATCACGTGATGCAGTACAGCAGGTAACCAACTGCTCTAATGCCACTGCAGTCTCTTGTACTAATTGCCCTAACAGCCATCGCAGTTAACCAGTTCTGCTGGGTGTTGTGTGTTTGAACGGAACCATGAACAACAGTACTGTCCATGTCACTGCTTGGACTACTTGTATTAATAATGGCCAAAGGTTATTGCGGAGAGGACAACCAGACTGCATATTACTCCACCCAGCAGCCACCAATAGAATTAGCTGTGTTGCCAATCTAAGTTACTTTATCCAGACAGCCAACTGCCTAAATAAAATAAAAAAATTTCGGCAGCAATGCACAACCCAGTCAGACAGTTGGCAGGGACATTTACAATACTATGTTTTTGGCTTTTTCAAAGACCTATACAACAGCTAAAGTGAGATAGAGGAAGCTTCACCGTTCATCACTACATGGGACTTTTTGATTGATGGGTCATCTTGCCTGGGCTTTGGACTATGTCTCTGTAATTTTGGTATTCTGAGTGTGTACATATGTATGTTATACATATGATTGATGTATGTCCTTGTATTATTTTCATTGCATTTATTTTATTTTACTTTTTTAAACTGGACCTGAACTGAGAAAGTGAAGATTTGCTATATTTTAGGGAACATTTAGAGATGTTAACTGTGCCTAATACATACCCTGAAAATGTTTTTGTTTTAAATTCCACCAGAAAAATAGCAGTGCATGTCCTAGTATGTGAGGGTTCCTAGGCAATCCTGTACATATAGCCCCACAGCTCTATATCTGTAATGTAAGATTTAAGGCACCACTGACTCGGACTACTAGTCTTGGGAGATTTTCTAGTAGTCTTCTCTTCCCAAGAAGAGTCTTGGTAGATCTTCTAGAATTCAGTTCCTCTTCAATTTAATGACTGTTAGAAGGGGAAAACTGTTTTTTTTTTTATAGTTTGCATGTCTGTTATATCCCATATCCTGATTTCCCTTACATCAGTGATGAACCATGAAGGCATACTGTAGAAATAAAAGAGCACTTAATGTCCATCAGTAAGAAGATATATAAAGTCTGCATTCCTTTTCACAGCTTCATAGTTTGATACTTTATTCATACTCAGTGGTCCTCTAGTTTGAAAGTTCAAAGTCAGGTAAATATATGGATTTTGATTATCATAGCAGAAAGAACATCCTGGTGCATAACAATAGTGAACTGTTCATGTCAGTGCTTGAAACTCTACCTACACTAGGCTTCGGTTTGCTGAAGGATACTTCAAGGGCATCAAGTAGGCTTTGTAAATGTTTGCTTTCCAAACTACTATTTACATATATAAAGTTAGTTTGTATATTAGCCTTTTGCACTGCTACGAGTATATATCTTGCAACTCACTTAAGCATCCCTATTTTGCAATGTGTACCAAATGCTAAACCCAGTGGTGCTAAATCCTTAAAGTGACACTAAACTCAGGAGTCAAATCTTAAAATGCATTAGAGTACCTTAAATATTAACAAAAATGTATCTGATTTGTGTATCACTCAGCTGTGGATTCTCAAATCATCTCTGAATTGGTGCTGACACAATTCCTTCTGGAGGGTGGCTACTTTTGTTCTCCATGGTCCCTGTGTGTGTTGTAAAGTAGCCACTGCTCCAAGCTCGCTCCCATGATACACTACAATCTCAAGTTTAATTACCTAATTTGTATTGAAGTTATAATCTATCATGGGAGCTAGCTTGGTGCAGTGGCTACTTTACAACACACACACAGGGACCATGGGGAACAAAAGTAACCACCCTCTACTGGGGAAGAAAAGTGACAGCAAGAATTCAGAGAAGATTTGAGGATCTACAGCTGATTGTTACACAAGATACATCTTTGTTAATAGTTAGGGTACTTAAATGCATTTTTGGGATTTAACTCCTGAATTTAGTGTCACTTTAAAGCTTTGTGCTGAAAAGTACATTGTCTAAACTGTGAGCGCTGGTAACTACTGATCCACATTTTTGAGCTGAAGCCTTGGAGAGCTAGGCCTTAAAAAAGAGACACTCATGGGTGTCTTTTATTTTAACAATGTCATAATGACACTTTTCTTTGAAAAATAAGGGCTTTATAATCATATAAAGTAAATATAAGTAAATTGACTATTTTAATATAAAGCCTTGTATAAATATTTTCTGTTGAGTATATAAGAAAACCCTTTGCAGAGGTTAACTAGTATTAGTGAGAAGAACTTACTGCAATGTACCTCGTCGCTCCAATCATCGCAGTCATTGTAGCCATTGCATGTCAGTTTCTTAGTTATGCAAACTCCATTGCTGCACAGAAAGCTTTCTTGTTCCCCACACAGTGCTAAAACACAATAATACATAAAAAAAAGAATGTGTTAATTGAGTTTTAAACTATATAAATAAATTTTCCTTTTCATTAAAGTGTAGTTCACCCAAAACAATCTGTTTATCTATTGTGAAACCCATTGGTGTTTCAGTTTCTGGGTCTGTAAACCTGCAGTGGTCATTTTGACATGCACCGTCTCCTTCTGTTGCATTTTTTATTTGTTTCATACTGTGGAGAATGCAAAAGGAGTGGAAAACCCCCAAAGTGGGCAACTCTCCAACATGGATGGAGACAAAACAAAAAACTATAGCAAGGAAATCTCCCCACTGGACTGCTAAAAAGATTTTTTAAAAATCAGTGTGTGTGACTCAGCCCATCAGACTCACTTTGTACCTGAAACATTACTTTTAAGTGAAATAATGTCTTATAAGGTCAATCCACCTAAGCAGATACAGTATATCTCATTGGGACTTCTTATGTCCCCAATATGTCCCCAATAGATAAAGGAAGCCAGCAGGTGTCCATCACTCCTGTGTGCCTCTATAACCTGCAACTGAGACAGAACTTTCTGACACTGGACTGTACACTTTGCTCTAAAATTCATTTATAATCTTTAGGCTTCATTGTGCCCTGCAAAAATTGAAGGCACCTCAGACCAGACCAGTCTGTGAACACAGAGCTGATGTGACTTTCAAGGGGTACTAACAAATTTGCCCGGGCCATTTTAGAATATCTTTGTAGAATACTAAATAATGTATTTCTTTTCACACTTTCTTTGCTTTACTTTATGACATTTTTTTACTTAGGAGACTGCAGATCTTCTCTCTGCTCTAAGAGAAGCAAATCCTTTTCACCTTTTAGCAAGACATTTTTATTATCAAGATTCTTCAGTTGCTGCAGAGCTGCTTAGGCTTCTGTTTACAAGGACGCTACAAACAGCGCTCTCGGATATGGCCTGGGAAGTATGTGTGCCTGGCTAGCCTGCAGCCCTGGAAGACAGGAGGAGTGCCTGTGCTAGTGAAAACCAAAAAAGACAAAAGAGAGGGCGCCCTCACCTTTGTCCTTTTTAGGCTTCTGTTTGCAGCTTCTAGATTACCTCTTGAATTTGACCTGGGGGAACATACCTGGAGCTTATTCACCCCTTTACCACATTGGGAGTCCTGCCAGTTTATGTTTGGCTAGAGCAACTCAGGGGGTGTCTGCAGCATTTCTCCTGAGGGTCCTGACAATGAACGTCTAGACTGCTGTCTCCCAGTCTAAGTCGCTGCCATCTTTAGGGGCCTCCTTTACTGGTCGAGGGACTGTCAAGAGGAGTGGACCACCCTGAGAAGAAGGTTACTAGCATGTCTAAATGTATTTGTTAGCTTTCGGCTCTGTTGGAGTCATTGACTTTCAGGGGCCACAAGTGAAAACCCTCTACCTCCCCCCAGAGTCTGTCTCTTATCTTCTAACAGCAGCTTCTGTTTCCCATTCTGTCTTGTGTGGTGACTGGCCCACACTCGAGAAGGTCTTAGCTACTTTAATCATTTTGCTTAGCAGTATCCTATTAAAGAGAGTTTCCTGATAGGATGCCATGTTGTGTACACATTCATTCACTGTCACAAAAAGATTTCAACTGTCCCTGTTGAGGACATCCCAGTTTTTAAGGACCTTGTGGATTAATGATTAGTAGCCCTTTCTAATTCTCTGTACTTCCATGCATTGTGTTGAAGGGCTAGCAGATAAGATCCACCAAATATTCATAATGGGCCTCCTTTCAGTGCATATGCACAGGAGGCTATGCCTTAAATGTAGCAGCAGCCTGCTTCTCATTCCACTATCGCTAGGTTGATTTGTCAGCTCATTATTTTAGCCCAGTAGCATGGTTCCCCCTTTCCTGGTCAAAGCCCACTCCACTATATCAGTTAGTGATTTTCAGCATCAATCATCTAATTCTCAGGCCTCAACTGATGCCCCCTGTCGTTTTAAGGATCTTTATGAGCTGTAGACTTCCTTAGCTGTCCTTGTTATCTTGTTTCTTTCTGGTGGGCCTGTTAGCCTTTTGCTTCGGGTACATTATGGGACACAGGTCCCTCCCCACTGTTCTTATAATCCACTCCTGTCATTGCTTGCTACTAAGCTGAGGCATGCTGCGGGTGGGAGGGGCTATACTGGGCTGTCCTTACAACTTTGCTTTGCCAGTATCCAACTCTCCTGAAAGTGGCAGTAAACCAGTGTTTCTAAATACTGCCCTGTGTCCTCTAATAAAAGAATGTCAATGGTAAGACAACAATCCTATTTTCCTGTGCAAACATCTTTTTACTTCTTTCTGAAAAGCAGTGTACACTCTGATTGTATATGAATCTAATATTGTATAAGTGAATGTATTAATCAGAATATTATTGTGTACCTGCATTGCCATATGATTATTATTAGATTCTGGGGCATAGTTCAAATGTCATCACTGATATTAATTTTAGCAGAGCCTAAAGCAGAGCTTTACAGACCAAAAAAAATGTACATGGGCAATAACAATTACAAACCTAAAGGTAAAAAACCATAGGACTAAGCACCTGAATGTACAACCAATGAAAAACAGATGCAATTATAAGCAAAATTACTGTGTTCCCTATTTCTGATACTGCTTTCAATCATTGGCCAGTTCCTCTATTGCTTTTGCCCTCTCTTTGTCAAAGCAGGATGTTTGAGTGACAAACTCACAATTTTGCCCCATATAAAGTCCCATATAAGCTGTGGCTTTGCTGCAATGTGTAGCAGTGTACGCATGTCAGATGCGCACATTCAAGGGTATCTCCATAGGACAATGTAAGAATTAGTAGATGGATGGAACGTCATGTAATCAGAACTGGCGCTTTCAGGATCCACGCAGCAATGCTGAGCCTGATGAAGGGGACCCTGCGCGGCCTGAACGCGCTAGTGTTGACATGACATTTTAAATAAACAAGCACTTTGGATTACAATACTTTTGGTGTGCTGGTGACATCCATCTACTGATAATATCTGACGGCGCCTTCCGTGGTCATTACAAGCACCCCCCACACTCCTTACCAGAAACCCCCGCTTTGAATTGGGGTTTCCGATAAGGAGTGTGGCCAGGCAAGCTTTCGTTTGTTCCAAATAAGAATTAGGAGACACCCAAAAAACAGATAGTGTGACCATTTCCTCCAAAGCTGAAAGTAATGCAACTGAAGCCAAAACTTTTTTTTTTAGTTTTGGATAGGATGGAGAGGGATTAGAACACTGGTCAGGTTTTTATTGCTGTCTGTGGTCCCGAGATTCACTCTCTCAATTTGTCCTGGTGATCATTACCACTAAATGTGAAAGAAATTCCTACATTTTGGGTTGTCATCAGAAAACAAAAAGATGGGAAATCTTCCAGGGACTTCCCTCTCTGGCTATTGCACAGAAAGGGAAGGGAACTTTCCCCAATGGGACACAGATGGCCAAAAAAAAAAAAAACTGACAGGGATGATTACCCCCCTAATCCCTTAAAAACTAACAAAAAAAGTTTTGGCTATAGTTCTTATTTAACTACTGTAAAAGTGGAATTTGGTTGGTTGTTAGGGGTTTGCACTATTTGCTTATCTTTACAACTCTTTTCATTTAAAACACAGGATGAATAAAAGAACCACAGTATGTCAGACACATAAACCGTTGATGTGTATAATGTAGGAGCAGTACATAGCCCATAGATGCTAGGATGTGCTTTTGTCTATTCTTCATTGAAAGGGTATGTAAGTGCTAAATGTTTCGGTATCACACTAAAACACAGCAATCCACAATCCAAACCTACTTGGCAATCCCAGCGTGTATAGAAGGTATCGCAATACAAACGTTTCAATAAAGATAAACACACTTTCCAAAATGAAGATCATCCATGAAAGTTTAAAGTACACTCCAGTCTCCAGTCCCAATCAGATTAGCCCACATATGTTATGTTCAGCAGCTTTTGCATGGAAAGATTGAATCTTATTTTACTTCTTAGTAAGAATAGGAGAATTTGTCTTTCTTATTCTTATATTCTTACCATTTGCCACATGAAAAGTAAGAGATACAAGAAGTCCTGTTACTGGCAGGATCTCAAGGTAAGAAACTGCAACTAACTGAAGAAAAATGATTTGCTTATGAAAAATGTAAACAGTGAGGCATGCTGCCAAATATAATAAAACTGAATTGGGTTTACATACACTTTAAAAACTATGAACAATCAACCATACATACCAACTTTTTTTTAACATCCATACTCTATTATTTACCCAGTTCTGAAGTGACACTGCATGATCTTTACTGTTGACTAAGGGGCTATGGCATACTGGTGTGTGACCACAATGGTATCCAATTGTGTTTACTGAAAATAACCTCAACTAGATAATGCTGACAAATCATTTGTCCATAACATTCTCTCTAAATAGTTTAAACAAACAGTAAATGATGGCAAAACTGAGTTAGCAGAGTCTGTACTATCTCTATTGTTCAGTATATGGGTATTTGGTTACTTCCTTCAATAAAGCATTCTACATAATGTTATTATGAACATTTTTAATCCTCCTTGTTAAGCCATTGCCTTTTACATAAATATAAACTGTAATAAACCAGACTGTACATAATGCAATTCTTGGAACATAGATTACTTGACCAGCTTTGTTAAATAAGACATAGGTTCTCAGAGAACAACCAGCAGTTCAAGAAGTTTAGAGATCTTTGCTCAAGTCATTACTGTGGAGCCAAGTTGTAGTAAGCCTTTTGCTATAGTGAGAATTCATAGTTAAATTTATTTTTTAAGTAATAGATCAGACTGAAAGTTGACATTTGTCATTCTTATGACCAAAGGTTCCCAAAGGGCAGCCAAAAGTGGGATTTCAAATCTATACCAAGCCAAGTGGGTTTCTGCAGTATTTCCTTATAAAGGTATAAAAGCATGAACCGGTTTTCTTTTTTTTTTTAAAGAAAAATGTTTAAAAAAATATATCCATGAATGTCACATACTTATCTCTTATGATTAGTACTGCTATGGTGGGAGCCATTTGGTTTCACAGCATCTTCTGTTTCTTACATTATTAGATCTTGGATAAACAGTCCATCGAAAGCAGCATAGTTCCATCGGAAACACAAGGATTGTGCATCAGTTGAGTCAGTGTATAAGTACTTTTCAATGTTAGACTTGTACTAATTGTTCCTGTGGCGGTTAAATGGCTATACACTGCTTGTTTTCAATCAACTTTTGTCAAAGTAGCCTGGCTGAAAATTGTTGGCTGAACAGTGACTGCAGCCAGTCAGAATACAATAGCCAGGCAGGAGAATTTTTCCATTTCAGCCCCAGGGCCAAACGTGAAAAATGTCAACTGTATGGCCAGCTTCAGTAAAAGTTGTGGTAGTGAAATCACAATAGGCAAAAGGAGTATATGTACCCCGAGTAAAGATCGGATGATGGAATAAAGATAAGGCTTGTAGAATGTTGAGGCTCAGTATTACTGTTTATCTAGGGCAGGGGTAGGCAACTCCAGCCCTACAACTGTTGTGAAACTACAAGTCCCATGAGGCATTGCAATTACAGGCATGACTCCCAGAGGCATGTTGGGATCTTTAGTTAAAGGTCACCCTGATCTAGGATCTGAGATCGACTATACGTCATTCAATTAGTTGGACACAGAGGGCTATTGTTGGTATAACTGTACATAAAGAAATTTTGTAAATTAATGTCGTAACTGCAGATATACTCAATCTTCGGATCTTCTGAACAGCCTTATTAAAGAGGAATTCCAGGCAAATCATTTGATGTAGTAGAGAAGGGTTAGACCCTTTTTGGGGTTTTTATTGTTGTCCAAGTAAGGAAAAAAACACACTTTTGACAATCAGCAGCAGAAAAGCTGTCCTGTTCTGGTGACAACTGGCAACTTTCAGATTCCCCCTCACATGTTGCCCCAGTAACAATTGTCACTGGATAATACAGTGATAATAAACCTTCCCAACAGAGAAAAGGCAGCCAAAACAGCAGTAATAGTAGTACGAGGCCATCCAAAATAACAAGATCATTAGGAAATGGTTGGAGCGACATGGGCCTCCATGACTACATCTCTCAATGCAATGTAACAGTAACTCTACTAAAACTTGGTAGAGATGCCAAAACTCAGTAAGACCACACAAAAAATTGCAAAATTAAACCCAGGCAGATGTAAAAACCATAATTTAGTCCAGTTATGTATTTAATACGAAATATTTAGATTTTTTACAATATAGCTAGTTCAAGTGCCCAAATCTGTCTTGAGTTTAGCCTGTCCAAAAGCATTCAGGGAGAGGGAACTTCAACACTATTGCTTTGAATAGAGTTTTCAGTCTAACATTATTAATATACTTACAGGGGAGCAGAACAGAGGAAGGACCTAACTAGTTTGCTGCTACTCATTCACTGTTCATTCAAAGGCTGCAGTGGGCCCTGAACTAGTCTGTATTGCTTTATTGTAGTGTAGTCTGCAGGTGGTACAAAGATTTGTAATTATGTATAGGCAGTCTTGTGATTCAGACACTCCCATCAGACAGCATAGCCAGGTTAATGACCTCACAACAAAGTCCAAATCCCATTCGCACTGCCACGGTCTCAAAACCACAAGGTATATGTGGTGCCAAGGTGACCACACGGATGGCGCTGTGCAAAACACTAATAGTAAATAAAAGTAATTCACCGGCACACACTTGAAGGGTTTTTAAAGTATTGATATGTTTATTCAATACCCAATGTCACATACTGTCATGCAGTGCTAACGTTTCGGGTCCGCACAGGGATCCTTCATCAGAGCGACAGTGACAGTTAATGACCTGACTTTCCTCAACAGCAATTAGGCAATATGGCTGTGTTAAGGACCCAAACCAAGCCTATTAAGTGTACAGTACAATGAAGGAGCAGACACCAGCCTAATGAGGTCATCACTCTACTGACTTTGTTTCATTTCCTGTTAGCGAAGTATGTTACATTGACAGCACTATACAGTGTAATGTTGCCTGTACAGCTCTCTCTTAGGCTGGGTTCACACCTGAGCGTGTTTTTTCAGCTCGCTTTGCAGCTTGTTTTTTTGCGCGTTTTTAGCGCATTTTTCCGTTCCGCGTTTCACTAGCGGTATGATTTTTTTTCCCTTTATTTTCTCTATTTTAAAAAAAAATGATAATTTTTTTTAGTTTCACTTTTAAACTTCCAGCTTGCTCCGCCCCCCTGCGACGCGGCCGCTCGCAAGGGACGGAACCCGGAAGTCGGCAGACGCCGGAGGACACATCGGGGATCGCGGACAAGGTAAGACCTGTACGCTGTATTCCCAAGTGTGGCTCTGGGTTAACGCTTTGTTAACCCCGATCCACACTCGGGAATACCAATGTAAACGTGCGGCAAAACGCCCCAAAGAAGCTCCTGTACTTCTTTGGGCGTTTTACAGCGCGTTCCTAGCGCTGTAAAACACCCAGGTGGGTACCATGCTCATAGGCAATCATTGGTTTTCACATGTTGAGCGTTTTACAGGGCGTAGGAACGCGCTGTAAAACGCCCAGGTGTGAACCAGGCCTTAGTCTGTGCAGAGGATAACAAGAAGCTAAAAAAAGACAGATTCAGGCACTTAGCACTTATACTAGCTAAAATAATGCAATGATTGTTCTACAGAATACATCATTTGCACAGCATACATAACTACATACAATGGTGGTATTTTATATCTGCCTGCAGTTTTAAAAATAATCTTCAACATACACAAATATAATGGGGGGGATTTATCATAGCAATTGTGAGTGTTTGAACTTGCACGGAATATATTTGCACCAGATTTATGATGCTAGTGTCATGTTGTTGATAAATGAGGTTTACCAGGCTCTAGGAAAGAAGACTCGTAACTTCAGACAAAAAGCTTAACTGTCACTTCTTGAAGAAGTGGTCATGGGCCCTTCTTAAGTTGTGATTGTTTTCTTAGGTGATGCTCCAGTTTCAGACAACCCAGAACAAGTGGTGCAAAAAAGGTGCAAAAAACATGCAACTGAAAAAGTAGTGCAAGATCGGGTAAAAACAGGTGCAAAACACGTGCAGTTGGAAAAGTAGTGTAAGCTCAAAAGCTCAGGTCAAAACAGGGGCACATGTTGAAAGACAGATTTGCACATTAAAAAAAATGATCTAAGAGGTTAAAACTGTCGCAATTGCTTTGATAAATTCCCCACAATGTATGTTGTAAAATACGTATTTAGCAGCGATGTACTGAATCTGGCTCTTAATTCATATTTCATTATATCAGATATCACAATTTTCCTAAGTAAACAGAAAAAGCATGCTTGGAACTAGCTCTGCACTTACATTGTCGTCCTTTCTCATGCTGTGGGGAGAAGCACACACGGCTCAGGTTGCTATTTTCTGTTTTGTTCTGGAATTGGGAACATCTTAAGAACTCCGGCCAGGAAGAATTCACCATGTCTAACACTGGCCCACAGCCATCTTGTGCTGCCTCACAGAATGATCGGCATGGTAGCAATGGTTGACTGGAGAGAAAAAGAAGAAAAGAAAGTTCTCAGCATAGCCATCAGCAGTGAGAAACTAAATTGTTGATCAGTCACAATGTATGAAATTCTCCAGGTAATAAATAGCTGACGTGTCTTTCTGATGACCTTTAAGAAGATCTTGACTCAAGATGTTTTTTCAGTGAAGGATAATAAAGGCAATCTATATACAAAATTAGATTAAACATTACAGTTTTCATGCCAATCATGTATCATTGAAAAGCTTCAGAAAACTCTTTGATGTGCAAACAGTCCAAAAAAATACAAAACCAAACTTTTTGAAGCAGCTATAGATTTTCAAAGTTTTTAACCCCCTTGGCGGTATGATTATGCAGGATTTTAGCATGCCAAAGCAGTACATTGTTTTTCATGGCAATTTGTTGTTTTATATTGTAGGCCTGTAATTCTTAGTAAATCTTAGGAATAACTCACCTAAATCTGTCCAAGCAAGAGTCTAGTAGATAAAGTTTAAAACACGAAATTAAAAAATTATAATATAACAAATAATTATAAAGAATTATAAAAAATTATAATATAATAATTTAAAAAATGGTCCAGTAAATGGGAATTCTGGGGGCGCTGCCTGATCCTACCACAGTCAATAGAGTACCAAGTTCACACATCACTGAGCTCGGTCGCAGAATCGTCGCTGTCGTCACTTTCAGTGTCTGATGACGAATTTCCCAACAAATCGTTGTCGCTCAATTTTGCAAGTGATTCTAATTTACTATCGCTGTTTTCTACCTGGTGTAAAACCGCTTTTGACCTAAAGGGAGGCTTTTTGGATGCGATGGATGTTCTCAAGTTTCCAGGCAGAAAGAACAGTAAAAGTGCAGGCAGGGCACTGGACAAAGCTCTAGGACACCGTGGGCTCGTAGGGACAAGGTAAGTGACACTTTTGTGTAATCCTGAGTGTGACTCAGGGTTACCGCTATTGGTACTGAAAATTAACCCCGAGCCTCACTCAGGAATACCGCCAGGGAGGCTACGCATGCGCAATTGCTTTTTTCTTACAATGTTCGTAGGAAAATTAATTTGTAGCACTCAATTAAGTCTAAACACTATAGGGTTGATTTACCAAAGGTTGATTGGCTGTTGACTTTACAAGGGCATTTTCACTATGCAAGGGAATTTTCCTTTAGTGAATGTGGTGAAAATTAAACTGACACTAAACTAAGGAGTTAAATCTTAAAAATACATTCAAGTACCCTAACTATTAACATAAATGTATCTTATTTGTGTATCACTTAGCTGTAGATTCTCAAATCATCTCTGAATTGGTGCTGACACTGTCCTTCCTTCTGAAGGGTGACTACTTTTGTTCCCCATGGTCCCTGTGTGTGTTGTAAAGTAGTCACCGCTCCAAGCTCACTCCTGTGATGAACTACACTCTCAAAACAAATTAGTAAACTAAATATGAGATTGTAGTCCATCACAGGAGTGAGTTAATATGCACTTTACAAAGATTACACAGTTGAGTGCAAAGAAATAAACAGTATTTTTACATGCACATGATTGGATTATGTAAATCAGCACAGCTGTATCTCATTCACTAAGCCAAGTGAAAATCCCCTTGCAAAGTGAATAGCCTATCTGCCTTTAGTATATCAACCCCTGTATGCCATAAGGCAGACATGTTGGGGTTGATTTACTATTTACAAATAAGCTATTGACTTTGCAAGGGGATTTGCACTCTTCACAGGAATGTTATCTTATTGAATGTAGTCAAAATTCACTTTGCAAAGAGTACCCAAACATGAGTAAGGAAAAGAAAAAAAAACAAAGTATTTTGCTTGCACATGATTGAATGATGGAAATCAACAGAGATTCACCTAATTCACTAAGTTAAGAACAAATTCCCCTGCAAAGGTCTAATTTCCTTGCAAAGTAAACAGCCAATTTGCCTTTAGGAAATCAACCCTCTCATATTTATACATTCCCTAATCCAAATCAACTCTATCGCCATATGCCTACACAAGTTACAGCTCGAAAGGTTCCCAAGGGCCAGTGACTGCTCAATTAACACGCAGTGCTTGCTAGTCCTAGAGTGTGTTAGTGCCTATGAAGAAGGAAAGGAGAAATCCAGCCAGACATGCCTTGCGTCTGCCAAACTCTAGTTCCCCCCATAGTAGACAACTGGGTTGTCTAAATTCATCTCTATAGAATGTGGCCAAGTTATAAGCAGCTTGTGCCAAAGGGTAGCCTAATTTGTATCATCTTCTGTTAGTTACTAGGTTAGGCTTTGTGGCTCTTGCTTTCTACAATAATTCAGACACTGATCAAGCAAATTTGCTAAATGGTTTTAATGTTCAATGATTAAAGCCTAATTACAAAATTTTAGTGAATTTCAAAAATATGACTATATTGTTCCACATGACATTTTCCAGATGTATCTGTCTCCAACCACCAAATCAGCCTACAAAGCACTACTGTCAACCACAATTACTTTTAAAGTTTGAAGCTTTCAAAAGTTTTTGTAGAAAATAATGAATATTCCATGTATGTTAGCTAAATATTAATTTTGCATGTCTTAAAATATTATGAGATGGCAAGAACAGATTTTCATGGCTGCTTTCACCCTGTATAAGATGCTGTCTGCGTCTTCTGTGGTTTTCCTTTCATGCTGTGAATTAAATTGAGGTATAATTAAATTGACATGTAAGAAATTTGGGTTTTAAGAAAAGTGTATTTATAAGACTTGCTGGTTTTCTTTTCTCATGTTTTTTTTTAACACAGTAACACCATTCAACTTAAATGACTTGACAGAAAAAAATGACATTTCTGCATAGTCGCTGAGACTATTGTGCATGCTAAATCTAGTGGGTTCTCTTGAACGGCAAAGAGCAAGAAACCCTTGAAATAAATTTTAGGACTCAAGTAATCCCAGCTGAATTTGACTATGGGGTCGATTCACTAAGCTGCGGACGGCAGCCGAGTGAATAACCGACCCAAAGTGAGCCGAACGCTGTTCAGCTATTCACTTCAGGCTTGTACGGCTGATTTCAGCCGTATATTGGCTGAAATCAGCCGTACAATCAGGTGGCTTCGTGTGGCTTTGGGTCGGCCAAACATTCTCAGCATGTTCGGCCGACCCGCAGTGCAGAAGGAGTCCGACTCAGCCAATCCAACATCTGGATTACTACTACAGGCTACTCGCTGCTGTTCGGCCTATTCTCATAGATGCCGAACAGCAGTGAGTGAATAGCCGAATGCCGCTGAGCGGCATTCGGCTCGGCTATTCTGCCCAGTACCTCTGTGGTACCGAGCAGAATAGAAAAATAGTAAAAAAAAGTATTAAAAAAAAGGAAAAAATTGAGCGGAGCTAGCAGTGATAGCTAGCTCCGCCCAACTGTTTTCTATTGGCCGGGCGGTTCTGCTGCCATCAAAAAAAACACCATAGGAATGCATAGCTGGATTCCTATTGGCTATTACAATTTTCAATAGCCAATAGCAAACAAGCTATTGCACCCGCCCACTGCTGCTGTCAATCACCAGAGGGGAACCTGATGGAGAACTGCATGTCCCCCACTGCTGATTGACAGCAGCAGTGGGCGGGTGCAATAGCTAGTGAGGTTACAAAACCTGTACAGTACAACAACAAAAAGGAGACAACATCAAGGAAAAAGAACTACCACAGCACATGGAATACAAGGCAGGGTGAAATTACAAAATAGTATATTAATTACAAAGTTCCCAGAACACATACAACTACTTTAAAACTACATATGTAATCAATAAGACTAGATTTTATCTAATTTTTGACAGCTGCAACTCAGGCAAGTTGTTTTTTTTATTGAGAAGGAGCACAATTTACTAAAGTGATCCAAGATTTTTTGCAATGAGCTATTAGTTGTAATTATTTTTCAGACATTTTGACATATAGACAGAGCTGGTACTCTCTTATTACTCCTAGGGATCTATAGCAGGGTCCAACAGGAGAGGAATTGCTGTTCTTGTGTTTACAAAAGAGTTGTCAATAGTATGCATCCAACACGAGTTATGTGCATTAAATCAACTCATAATAAAACCAAAGTATAAGGATTTATAAATCTCACTGCTTCATTTTTGAAAAATAAAAATGTTAACCAAAAAAGTGACATATGTACTATTTTTAATTGAGCCTATCTTTACAATTTTATTTACTACTCTATTACTCAGCATTATTTATGATGATATATGCGCTAGCGTAACCCAAGCCCAGAAGGTAGGTGCATAATACTACCCTTAATAGCTTGGCCTTTGACACAAATAAACTCTGGATCAATGTAAGACAGTAGGCCTCTGTACTGTGTATCATATCTGGTGTACTGATCTTTTTTTGTGTTAAAAGTTTATTTTTTTCTTACTTAGAATATGATGAAGTAATTAAAACGGGTGCTTTTGAGGGGACTGTATAGTCTTTTTTTTTTACATATTTTGTTGATTTCTGTATTATGTGTAGGAGTAAAGAAAACATCATATTTCAAAACATTTGTATTTCTGTTTAGTTAGTTAGGAAATATTGATCATAAATATTTAATAAATACCTATGCCAGCAATATCATGTTTACTGTTGTGCTGTAGCTCAATGAGACAACTAACTTATAGGAAGAACACATCCCACTCCTCTCCAACCAGAGATAGTGCTTTCTAGATGTTCAGTCTGCAGCAGCATTTACCACATGGAGAAATATTCTTGGGATTTCTGATTAAATAACTGAGAATGCACTGAAAACATATGCACCTGGTGTGACAGTGGCAGTCTCTGATCCCACTGCTGCCACCAGAACGTGATGATTGTGTTTTCAACCTCACCCAGATTTTCTAGCTCAAGGAATAACAATCTTGTTGCTAGCAGACTAAGGGGTCTATTCACTAAGCTGTCGTAGGCAGCCGAGTGAACAACCGACCCCAAGTGAATGAACCGAACGCTGTTCGGCTATTCACTTCAGGCTTGTACGGCTGATTTTAGCCATATATCGGCTGAAATCGGCGATGTGGGT